TGTGAGCTGTGAGATACTTAGAAATACAGAAAAGCTGTAGATGTCGGTGTTTTATACTAGCTAGATTATGCTGTTATTAAATAGTTCATAAATATGGTGAAAACATACAACAAAATGTATCCAACTCAATATTTCAGCCACACTAACGAGAGAAGAGGCAGCACATGTAGGCTGACAACTGTTATCAGCAGATGACTCATGAATGTTTACGACATGTGAGTGTTTCCATGTTTATCCTCTATAGGATGACTGTCTGCAGCCTTTGCTGGGAGGGGTTCATCACCTCAGGAGGTAAACAGTTCAACTAATCCTTCCAACATGGGAATGACTTTCAAACATGGCATGAGAGCTCGGTCTGCCAACGTGCCACAGCAGAGATCATGCACCGCCACTGACTTTGTTAATCTATCACTTATCCCTGCAGGATTACCAAAAATATACTGATCAGCCCTGCACTCTAATTGGATTTGTGTGTGTGAGAGAAGAAGAGAGTGTGTGTTGGTTTTCTACATTTTGTCGACCTCATTTCAGCTGAACAGGTCAGAGTGGATGTGCATCTGGACGGTGGTCTCTAATACCCAAAACAAACTGTAAGGCTGTGTGCACGTTTCTATGCTGCTGTGCACCAATCCTCATTTCCCTGAATCTCACAGAGGCCACAGAGATGCAACAAGCACAATTACAGGACATGTACCAAAGTGAAATAAACCAGAGTTATCCTTTTGATGTGTGTTTTCCTCCAAAGCAGCACAACCGAGGTTCATGGAAATTTTGTTGTTGTTTAGAGGAAAAGCCTGGCACATTTAGCTTCTGCACATTCTCCAAGTTAAGTGTGAAACTTTTTACGAACTACACAGCAAAACAGGATGAGATTTAGCACACTGAATACAGCGGTCATAGAATCGTCCCTGAGGCTTGGACCAGGGGTTTGGAGTTTTGAGGGCATTTGGGGTATTCTGGTTTTGTATTTTTGATCATCTAGTATTTGTTAGAAGTTGGGTTCTGGTTCTGTGGTGTTTGAGTCACTGAACCTGGCACACCTGTTACTCATCAGCTGCATTCTTCAGAAGTGTTCCTGACAGAAGACTAGTGTCGGAGTATTGACGTTTTTGGTCTGTAATTCTGCCGCTGCCTGCTGGAGCCGTTGGATTATTTCTGGTGACTGTAAGGACTTTTGTTTCCTCCCCAGGATTTCGCCTCGTCCGGTTTGTTTCCATCTGGAGGTTTTGGCAATAAACAGTACCAAATCGAGTGCACTACCTGTGTGTGTTTCCGTCACCTGCACGTCCTGGCTCCGCGTCCCCATTCATACGCTATTGTACATACTTGTAAAACCTCCCATCACTGTAAATAAACTGTCTTCACCGCAACTCTGCTCCCTGCGTCCATCTGCATTTGCCATAACAGTATTTTTGTTCTGTATTCTGTGCATTATAGTCTTCTGGTTATAGTGTTATTTTCACATTTATGATGACCTTGGTTTTTGTGCTGTCAGTTTCCTGATTCCTGATTTATTGATCCTTTTTCTGTCTCCCCAGTTTTGTCCCTGTGTCTGTCCCGTCTCTCTGTGTCCTATCTCCGCCGTAGTCTGATTTCCCTTTTTTACCAAGTTTGTACGTTCATGTGTTACTTTCAGTTTTTGCTTCCTCTGGCTTGTTATTTTGATTTTGTTCTGCTGTGTTTCCCAGCCGTGTCCACTCTGTCTCCTCATGTGTATTTGAACCCTCAGTTTGCTTCTGTTCTTTGCTGTGTGCTCATCTGTCTG